GACCCATGTGCAGGACCTTGCACTTGGCACATGGCCTTTGGTACAGATCGTCCTTATTTCAGAACAGAATGAATGATAATGTTAGTAACAGTTTGCAAAATGTGCTTTAACTAAGCTAAACCCAGATACTAAGATGTGTAAATTGAAGTACCAAATTTACAGGAAAAAAAAATTGACAGAAATGTGAACAAGAAGGTGTAAAGAAAGAGAAACTCATGTTTGCATTACTGTGCGCTATATAGCATTGCTTTAATGTACGAAACCAAGTGTCATTTTATGCATGTGGCAAAAAATGCTGAACTCTTTACTGTGTTTTCATGTAGCCAGGTTGGAGCAGTAGAATTCTGTCAACTGTTAAGATACCTTTAGGTATCTTCTATCTGAGTTGTGGGCAAAGCCAGCTTTGCTAAAGGTGATCTTTGGAGAACACAGCCGTACTGATTTCAAATTAATTGCCATCCATTTGAAGGCAAGTTTTTCCAGGCAGGCCTATTTCTCTATTGGAGTTTTCAGGATTAAGTGTCATTGAGATAAATAAAAATTCTTACTAACCTCATTCCTCAAAGGGTCACTTAGCGCCTGACAGATTTCCAAAACATGCAGTACTCCAAAATCATCAGAAACGGCTAAAAAATGCTGCTTTGCTGAAAGATATTTGACAAAAAACATATAAACAATCTAAATTCCAACAGTTGTACATACCTCCACCCAAACATGAGCTACAGAGTGTTCGTTTTTGGTGTCGTCTTTTTGGTTTATTGTTCACTGCAGCAAAAAGGCAGACTTATTTCTCTCTTATTTTATTAACAAATGAAATTTCCTTTAGAGTTCATATATTTTCAAACTTTTTTTAAAAAATTAGATTTTTTTTGGTTGCTTTAGGCCATGCTAGTACAATTAGAATCTGATGTATGCACTTTTGTATATACAGTGCAGTGTTAAATTAGTGGAAGTACGTACTTATCTGTTACATAAGATCGTCTGTAACAAGATTAGTGTGTCTTGGATTCTGGGCTGTTTTACAAAGTGGGTAGCACAGTAAAGTCCAATCACCATCAACATACATGAGGCAGTCCAAGGGCTGATGAAACTGATCATTGATTTGGAGATGTTCTGGAAATGAGATGGCTCATGAGTTTTCTTCAGTAAGTCCCAAATATCTATATTTCCATCATCTCTGCCAATGAAGAGAACTCCTGGTCTTGTTAAGGACCAGTGTCCCGCAGTGTATCTTCCTGTGGAGCATCTTGACTGAAGGATTGGTCCGCTCTTTTGAAAACAAACAAAAAGATAGACCCAACAATCAGACAGTACTATCCACTCACTACTTCAAATCTTCTGTCACTTGAGAATATTCACAATTTAAATAATCCTATTACAAAAATTATATCAATAGCAAAATTGGTATTGCCTTCTGCAGATAAAAAGAATTACGGGTAAGTAAAAACCTGATATCTCTCTTCCAGTCTATTAAGGTAATCTGTCTATCTGCTGTTAAAATCTGTGGTCTTGAGATTTTGCCAGGCGCAGCTAACCTGGATTCCTGCATGAGAGGATTTGTAAAAAACCCCACATTTCTTTGTCTTCACATGATGAAAAGACTGCATCCCAAATATGAGTTCTTCAGACCTGTGTAGCACACATCGCCTTTATTCTTCAGTTTCCCTAGCAGCAGAAATAATTTATTGAGAAGCTAGTTTTTTACAAGGTTGGAATTAAAGAAGGTCACTTCACTTTTTTTTTTTTAATCTGTAAAAGGCAAGTTTACGAAGCTATTTCTAAACTAGTTTTCTGATGTGAAGAAAAAAGAAAAGCTTTTCTTATATCCAATTTATTTCTAAACTATGAAGCTTTGTGACTTACAAACATTTCTGAAAATACAGTCTCTGAGGCCATTATAGTTCTGTCCTGTAGATCTATCAATTATGTTACAGCTGTGTTAAAGTAACTTACTGTAACCTCTTCTTTCCAAATGGCAAAATTCTGGCCTCCAATGCTTAGAATGATGTCTTTAAAAAACTGAGATCTCTGGAGAGTGTTGATAGTTTCGGTGTGGAAGGTGTACTTCTGAGTGTGCTTCTGACCTAATAGAGTGAAAAAGGCAGTTGCTTGTAACTAGTGCCTTAGCGATCCTCATCACAGTGGGAGTTACACGGGGGAAAACAGGAGAGCAGGATCCGGCACAGGCTTCAAAGATACTAGCTCCATTTTTTTTGCTCTCAATGTACAGGAAGGGGAATTGGCACAAGTCAAGTTACTTCCATGATTTGTGTCAATAGGTACATAGCAATGCACCTGTGACACTGGAGAGGGGTTTTGCTATTCTGCCATGACAGCTAAACTGCTTGCACTGTTGAGAGTGTCCTGGTGCCATCAGGGAGATAGACTATTAGAGCAGATGAGCAAGAGCCTTAAAAAGGCAGAGTATAGGTGCAAATATTTTAAAGTTAGCAATGTCTTAAGGTTTAAACAGCTATTGAGAAACTTGAACTTACTAACTGGTTTTGCTGAGTCACCATCAATTTCCATTTTCCAGTCAGAATAAACAATTTCTCCATCCTGTGATGCCAGAAAAATCAAGTAAATGCTAACATTAGAGCTTGGTGGCTTATATAAGTGACTTGTTTTTAAGCTGTGACTTTACTTCATTATAACCATTATTAAATAAGTTCTGAGTAAATTAAAATGAAAGTTTGCAGCCAATGACTGAAAAAACCACTAAATTTTTGGATCACCATTTTTTCAGTTATGTATTGCCAAAACAGCTTTACTTACCTTGATGTATGTAGACACTCCTTCCTGCAGAATTAGCTGCTCGGTTTTTACAGTTCACACTGTGCTCCAGTATTTGGGGAAAAGGTGACCAGAAACAAAAAGGTAGCTAGAAGCCAAATTTTAATTTCCACATGAACTCAAAAGTGGTAAAGATTTTGGAATTTTAGGTATATAGGGTAGATAGAGGGCTCTGAATGGCTGGGACTTCCTAAAGTAGAAATAAGTTGTGGGGGAAATTGTAATATAAATGTTTTCATCTGACCTTTGGGGAAACACTAAAAAAATATTACTAATCTTATGGGTTCTGGAATAAGGAAATACTGTTTGGTTTCTGATGGCAGGTAAAGTTCAACATAATTTGGAAATGTCTTCTAATCCTGCCCTTGAAGTAAGGTTTCATAGTCCACCAAATAGTGGGCTATTACTATTTTAAGGATGTAGCTAAATGCATTAAAATGGGAGTAAGATATGGCATGTCCAGAAAGATCTTTTTAGTTAACACCTGAAGAAAACATGCAAGTCCATACATTTGTGAAAACTCAGTCTTCCAGATATCTTGGATTAACATTTTCACTAGTGCTCTATTATTTTCACTTACTTCAGTTCCAACAAAAAAGTCCGTGGAGATATTCTCTAGTCCTTTCAGATTTTTGCTTGAAGTACTCATCTCTGTATATGGCCTCTCTCTGGCAGATGCTTCTAGTGTGTTCAGTGGGAAACAATATAGATACATCTATTTATTATACACTGGAATGTATCAGACCAAGCAAATCCTTTGTCTTATAAAGGTAGTTCATGGATAAGGGGAATGTCAAGAGCAGAGATGAAGACTGCCAAGTAAAGCAGCCATTTTGCATTGTTAACTTTCCTGGTGGAATCTCCCTGTTGCTGCAGCTCCTCTAAAGTCAGTGCTTCCTGTACCCAGACAGCGATTTAGGCTAGCACCATTCTGTTCTTCACCAGCCTTTACCCAGACAGCATGAGTGCCTCCACGGGCACCGCCCTTGTGCATCCTCCTTGGCTGCTGCAGCCAGCAGTGAAGGCACAACCTGCCTCCTGCAGCCTGTGCTGTGACTGCCTGCCCTGGAGCCACTGCCCACAGCAGCTCTGCTGTTCGGTTTGCAGGCACTCTCCCAGGTAGCCCAGCTCTCGTGTCAGCTTGCCAGCTTTACAGAGGGATTAGTAGTGTCGCTACCACAAAGAACAGCAATAAGAACTGATCTACTATGGGAGCAAAGAAGTTGGCACTTCACATCCTGTAGTGCAGAGTGACACCTCTATCAAAAGCACTACAGAAATACTTACAATATATGCTGTTACTTCAGGATTATTTTTCTAAAAATACTATTCTATAAGGGCTGAAAAGGACATACTGTTTGAAGGATAAAGAGACTGGGTGGGGGATTCGGTGTGGGCTATTAAGTGAAACCTGACAGAGTAACTTACTTTCTAGGAAGAAATGTTTTCCTGTGAGGGTGGTGAGGCACTAGAACAGGTTGCCCAGGGAAGCTGTGGATGCCCCATCCCTGGAGGTGTTCAAGGCCAGGCTGGATGAGGCTTTGAGCAACCTGGGCTAGAGGAGGGTGTCCCGGCCCATGGCAGGGGAGTCGGAACTCAGTGATCTTTAAGGTCCTTTCCAACCCAAACTATTCTATGATTCTGTGATTCTACTGTGGATACAGAACTGCTCTTCTTGTATTCAATACATGTACATATCTTTGTAGTTGATACGTGTATGTTGCACTTTGAATACCAGTCTATTTAAGAAACCTTTTTCTGCAGATGCATTTAGCCTATATAATATTTCGTTGCTCAGGTTTCATTATGTGTATACTGAAATATAAGATGAAAAATATTTTCCCCAATAAGGTGTAATAAAAAATATTACCTGAGGTTTTGTAATGATGATGCAGTTCCCTTAAACTAATTCTGACGGGACCATACTCTGTGGTGGGATCACTTTCGCACAGGTTTATCTGTTCAGAAAAAATGCATTTGCTAACTCATTTTGTCAGATCTTTGAGGTACAAGACTAAATTACTTTCTGCTGTAACAAAACAGATCTTTGCAGTTTGCAGTGTGTTTATAATACTTCATGAACAGTATTTGCTGCCTCACATGTAAGCACAGAGAAAATGTAGCCTGTGGTTTCTCTTTTGTTACCCTTTCCCTCTAAGGATTTTGACATGTTTCGCAAAAAGCCAGCTCCAGTGCTCGTGCTTGTTCAACAACTGCAGCTATTCTGAGCAGCACACATCAGCAGGTCCAAAATTATTTTCAGCCTCACTTTTTTCACAAACTGCTAGGACCATACTCATCAGACTGACTGTTGGGTTGCCAGTAATTGTGTCTCTGTTGACCATGGCTGCATCTCACAGTTTGAAACCCAGTTTGAGATAGCCAGCATGGCAATTGAAAAGGCTCACAGGGACTTAGGTTATCAATACAATTACTTTTGCACCTACTGCAGTTTTTAAGAGGCAGTCATGCTGTTTCTTGTGAGTTAGCTTTCCAGAATGGATTTTATTGACGTTTCAGAGGAATGTTGAAGTCTTTCATCAGAAGGAAATGCACAAGGAAGTCACAATTTGCTGGAAAAATTAGAGAATCGGAAAGCAAAAGAATACATCCCTATAGAGTTCTGGCCATATCTGGTTTGTCTTGATTCTTCTGTTCTCTATTTGTGTACAGTACCTTTACGAGAGGTTTCCAGCAGAGATCTAGATCCTTAAAAGTATCTCGAACATCAGGGGGAATACCAAAAATTTCATCCTTTTTTACTTTCTCAAATGAAGGTTGTTCAGTAAGTCTGGTGGCTGGCATATCCCAAAATAGTATTGAGCTGCAAAATGATTGTATAATGTTATTCCCTGTTTTTGTTTCAAAGTCCGATGCAGTTTTCAACACATTTTGAAGTTCTTTTTTTCTTTTGGATTTTCATCTTTAAACTTTACATAGTTACAGAGACTCTGAAAAGCTGACAAATGCTGGATACTTAATTGCTTCTTTTGTAAATGATGGCATATATTCCTTTATTCACCATTTCAGCAGGTGTTAACTATACTAAAGCAGCTAGATAGCATTCATACAGTTTGCCTATGGAAACTTCCTGGGTGAAGTTGCTGGCACTACCTGGATGAAATTCCTGGAGGCTGAGAGAACTGGACAGAACTCTGTAGCAGGTAATCTAGGAATTAAAATCAAAACTCATTCCCAGTTCTTGTGTGTACCAATTTATTTGCTGACACTCAAGGCAAATGGTCCCACTCACTTGAATCTGTCATCTCACTGGAGTTTTCAGCCCTCTGATTGTTCCTGTTGCTCTACTCTGGACATTTATTTAGAGATCTGATATAGACAACGATCATTTTCCTCACTGCTGCATCTCTCTCCCTTTTCTAACAGGAGTTGCTCAGGGACCTGTAATCTTCAAGGATGACATTACAGTGACTTCCCTGTTCTTAGTCTAGGTGAATACTTTTAATTTGGAGCCTTGGTGTGCGAGTACTTTAAATTACTTTTTCCACATGTATTACCTGCATTATACCACAAATTTACTAACAATTGTATTTGCAATCATTCTTCTAACTTAATTCTTTGAAGTCTTCTCTGCATAATAACTTTGTATCACTACCAAATTTTGCTCTCTCTGACCCTCCTTTTGATGCAATTAGCAAATACATGATCGAGCCCAGCCATGCAGCCTTGAAGCATTAAGCCTTTTGCCATCATGAAAACTGAACATTCATTTCCACTTTTTGCATTCTGCTCCCTGTCTTTCACACAGGATGATGTTTGGTTATAACCATCACAACTATTCATCCCATAAGAGAGGAGATTCATACAGAATAATTTTGCCAGCTAAGTCTCTGAGTTTAAATACAGTTTACAGTATTTCTGTGGCCTCAAAATCTTTAACAGTTTTTTGTGCAAGTCACATAGTCAATGTAAGTGTGGAGGTGTGGCTTTCCAGGACAGTGCGTATGTGATCAACACTCTTCTTATGGTATACACAGAATATAAATGTATATATGTAAGGTTTTCCAGTTAATGAACCCTTAATGCCGTTACTGTAACTGGCTTAACTGGCCGAAATTGATGTGCTTGTCTTCTGCACACAGAATTTTAGCTATTCAGGATAGGCTGATAGGAATCCAGTGTGTGCTGGTTAAATCATGGAGTATGCTCCATAAAGCTTTCCAAAGGAAACTGGAAGACATCTTGTAGAGTATCTATTGTATGTACCCATCAGGGGAGCAGGTTACAAGCTGCACGCAACTTTCAGCTCTCTTTTCAGAAGTAGCACCCATTTGGTTGTCCTAAAAATAACAGTAATAATAATTACAGAGGGAGAAGATGATGAGAGACAAACATTATACTTTGCTAAGTAAGTACTTCAAGACATAAAATGGGCTTCTAGAAATTAAGTCACTGTTTCTGCTTGGGGAAGGTTTGAAAATCAGGACTTATTAACTTGTAGTTATAAAGTCAAGCTATTTTACAAATGTACTTCAAGTGAACTGATACCAGCTTTGCCTGCTAAACACCTAGCATTCTAAACCAAGTTATCAGAATAAATACTTGCTGGCACCACTGCAAGTCAGGCCCTCCTTAGGTTGCCATGTTTGTGAATCTTTTTTATCCAGCTTAACCAAAGAGCAAATCATTGAGAAATTTATCTCAAACAGTTAAGTGTACTCAGAGTGATATCTCTTTGCCAAGTTTACACCATGGGTCATCTCTCTTAAATTACCACTTGGCTAGACCACACTGCAGGATGGTAGAGGTGCCTTCAAATGTTAATTATTAATAGTTGAGTTTGTGTATGTGGGTTTCTGCAGATTTTATAGTACTTATCATTACCAAGTAGTTATAGTTTTATACCGAATTTATTTTAACTTATTCAGAAAAATAAAGGAAAGGCGTCAGGGTGAACAAGTGATTATAGGCTATACCCTGACCAAATATAATTTCCAGTATATGCAAAACATGTATTTTGGATAAAACTGTACTGACTAATCATGCGGCAAAGTTTCAGCTACACTTTTTTTAGGCCAAATCCTACTCTTATTTTCATTCATGAGTTGCCTACATGGATTCAAAATGGTAGTCTCACAACCATGCAAAGCTGAATTAGGTTCTGGATATAACTTTGAATACTTTTTCATTTATATGTAATAATAAACGGCTGATTTTAGGAATTGTGCAATAGAAACTGCAATGCTGTGCAAAGGCTGACGTACCTTCCATGTTTATATAACAAAAAGTATGTCCCAGTACATGTTGCTAAATATTGACAAAGAGATTCCTTTGTCAGTGTTATTTATCGAGCAAGGGTTTCCTGTATCTGTTATCCCAGATGAACATGAAAACAGCTTTCTGAGCCTAAAACTTGTCAAAAAAACCCCTCACCCGAACAACAAAAACCACAACAGCATCCTGCTATCCAGTCCCTTTCTTCATGTTTTATATCTGGTACCAATTAGTATCCATGGGTACTACAGTAGCATAGTTTAATAATGAACAGTTATATCAGCTTTCTTTTTATGATATATGTGCACCCTTTTCCTCACTTTTCTGGTAATGTTGCTAAGGACTGCAGTATCTATGAAGTCTTAAAAATGTGTTATAAAAAATTACGGATATATTAATTTGCATAAACCTTTTAAAGATCTGTTTTCTTCCTCTTGACCTGCTTTTCCGCTGTCATTATTTTGCACTTGACTACATTTGCATTTCAAATTAATCTGGGCAACCATTTGCAGTACTTAGATAGTAAATGAGCATTCAGTACTCCTGTCTGACTACATAGACCCTAAGTACCAGGGAGCTTTAAAACCATCACAGAAAATGTAAGATTTGAGTACAGAGGCAGCACCTCAGTAATTAAGGTAACTACAAAAACACCATTCTTGGGTGCTTAGATATTTAGGTAACTGAAATAATTTCTCTGAATTCTTGGTGGCAGGCTAGATTGATCATAGTAGAAATTAAACACATTTTAGATACGGAAGGCTCGTTATAGTTTTGAATTATGATTTTCAGTAAAGCTACAGAATTTTTTTTCCAGTTTGAGCAAATTCATATCAGAGAATGAGAACATAGCACAGTTGTAAAGCACAATGAACAGGGCAAGACACACCAGAATATTTAATATTTACAAAATGCAGTGAGAAGTAATGAAGGCTATTACATTTTAGGCTATTAGGAAAACAATAAAAAGAAGAAAAGTTAATTTTTAAACTCACCTTAGAATAATGTGGTAGCCAATGTATGTCTGTTACTGGTTTTTTATGACTGTACTGTATGGAAGAGACTGCACAGTATTTCACTAGAGGTGGCTCTGTGCTATTCTGCTGGACTTGCATAAATGATGGCTAGAAATGTTTTAAAAAGAGATACCTTAGTATATTTTCAAAATACAGTAGTAGACCTGTCAAAGAAAAAAGGTTACTTTACATACTGTTAATTCTCCTTCACATGTTTCAGATCAGTTTATGAAACTTTCCAGGGGTCTAATACCTTCCCATTGGAAAAACAATGGCAAGCATCAAAACAGGTTTTTGGATATGAAGCTCTAAAAAGAATTCCAACTTTCCTCCACAGGTACCCACACATCCATTTATGTTATTAGTTCCTCCTTTCCTCTTAGGTCTCTCTTCTGCTTATCCCCTTATAGTCTCTTCCCACTGAAATCTGCTTCTCATCTTCCGACCTACCTTTTCTCTGTCCATAAACTTCCAGAATAATTTTCAGTATTACATTCAGCAACAAATGCTATACGTATTTGATAGGCTTCATAAGGCAAGAGTTGAGTGTATATGTTGGTGTCCATTAAAGAACAGTCTTATTGAAGCCTAAGTCTGCACAAAATGCAGTAAAGCTATTAAACTGGACTAATCAGGTAGAAATTATATTGTGATAATGGGTTTATTTCATGAATTCATCAACTTTCTTATCCTTTCTAGTCTCTCATTGCAAAGATTTTCTACGCCTCTGTTCTGAGTCAGGATACTTTCACCCATTTCCCCCCACAGATATATAGATGTACTGCAATATGTTTAGAATGGAAGCATTCACCGTATTAACAGATGTTTTCTCGATTCCATCATCAACAGTTTTTGTATTTTGCAGCTTTTCTTCATGTTGAGAAATATCCCACAGTATAACCTCCAATGAGAAATGAGTATATTATGAATTATTTCACCCTTTATATTAATGCACATTTTTTAATACAAATCAGGCAGGTTTGGGGAAAAAATAAGAAATTTACTCTCTGCACTAGAACTTATGAAGTCTTTAAAGTATTGCCTCTTCAGTCTGATGCAATCAGTTGAAAGGCTACACTTGTCTCAACAAACAAAAACAGAGTCTTTACAGCTTGACCTATTTATCAGCACTATAACGAAGCACCATACAGTGATGGCTCAGCTATGGAATAACGAGGCATAACTTCAGTACAGGATCAGAGAATTTCTGAGACTCTGTGACGTCTGTCTTGTGGTACTATGTGTTGTTATGGATGTTGAATACATCTCTTCACCCTTATTTTTATACTGTAAGAAGATACAGAAATATCCAGTTTTATTCTTAAGCAGAGAATTAACACCTGTCCATTGACGCAGCCACCAGCAATGATATTTGGATCACTTGGACTGAACTGAAAGCAGTAAATGTCTTCAGGACACTCCAACATCAACTAGAAAGAAGAAAAACAAAATAGTTGAGAAATACAGTCACACTGATTGTTTGTTCTCTTGTTATTTGAACACTTGGCAAATTTAAAAGTCCTTATTAAATACCTGAGGGTGGATAGGGTCAAAAAAACTCCAAAAAAGTATTACTGACTGCTGCAGCAATGACTTTTCAGAAAGGTTAACTTGTTCATAAGAAAGCCGCTCTCTTGCTGACACTGCTATAATCCCTGATTGAGATAGAAAACAAATTTTCTCAGAAGAGACAATTTAAGTTTCAACATGCTGTTAATTATTCTAAGTTACTTATATTTATGCCTTCTGAATACAGTGCAAAAAAAAGCAAAAAAAAACCCCAAACAACCGAACCATGCATTTATATTTTTCTTTTTACTGATCAACTTTGAGGAAATTATTTTTGTTACTTGAAATTAAAGTATTTAAGGTGTTTAACAATGGGTCGTAGAACCTAAGCATCAAGATAAAATCCAACTTTTTTGCTACTGCTCCTTAATGGTGTAATTCTGCACCTGAAATGATGTGACAGGCATACAGTCCTGGCCACCCATCATGAAATCAAATCGTTTGTAGCCAAATTAATTTCCTACACAGGCTGCAGTGTTGGCTATTAGTATGCTGTGCAGCTAGGACATTTATATAGAACTTAATTGTGCCTTTAAGCCTGGCTGTGTAGAGCAAGAATCCATGGCAGGGAGCGGGAGGACACATTTAGTACTCCTCCTGATGAGCCCTGGCACTGAGCAGAGCCATGTCCCATTGTGGCTGTAACATTCCTCACAAGTATGAGGCATGCTCCAGGAACCTGCATGAGGAGAGGAATGGTATGCAGAGCCACCAGGACCTGGCACGGTTGCAGCTCCACTTAAATGAGCCTCATAAGGGAGAAGTTTCCCTTTCCTGTGGTCTCCACTTATACATCAGTATGAGGGACTTTGCGTGGCCACTCTGAACTCTGCAAAGGATTTGACTGTTTCATTTTTCAGTTTGTCTCAAATCAGCAATTCAGATAGACATACTAAATCAGTTTTGATTTGGTTTTATATTTAAAAGCTGATAATTTCATGAAAGATGCATATTTTATAGCTGTCATATAATACATGTCATCCAAGTCTCAAATCAGTATTTTACATTACCGTAAATGGTTGGATGCCAGCAAACGCAGCTAATAGTTCTGTCCTTGAGATAGCGCAGATCTGTAAATGATTGGTATGCTTTAAGGTAAACATCTGGCTTGCCACCAGAATAGCTTTCATCTTCTGCTAGGGCCTTCCAGTCATCAAAAAAACCATCCATAATTTCATTTTGCTGCAATGCAATTTCCATTCTGTTTTGTGAAAAGAACAGTTTTTCAATAATCCAGATGTGACTACTCAGTAGTAGAGTCACAAAGATTTCTGTAAAGAAGCAGCTTTTCTTTTACACAAAATTATGACCACAGTAGTAAAAAAAAACCAGTATTAATTCCTCAGTGATGCTGTAAGGAAACCCTCTTCCATTTAAATGTAAATAACTAATTGTACCAAGAATTTAACTCTAGTTCTGTGTGGATCAAGTACAGTGCAATTGTCCAATTCCTGTGCAAATAGTGTCAGTAAGTGGGACTTGTCCCATGACTAAGGGCTGTAGGACAGCACTTTTGCTCTTCTGCATAAGCCTCTGCTTGAGTCATCAGTGTTTGAGAGATCAGCTTTGCAGCTTGTTCAGAAAGATGTATCACTATCAACTTTAACAGTTCTAATATCTATTTAAACTAACATTCATAGTAATATGACATAGACTTCATGTTAATTTTCATAGAAACAAGTTAAGCTTTGTTATTATAAAAATAATAAGAAACCCCCCCCCCCAAACTTTTTAAAAACAACAAAACAAATCAGATAAAATAATAAGAAACCCCCCCCCCCCAAACTATTTAGAAACAAACAAACAAATCAGTATTTGACAAGACCAATGGTCCATTCAGACAAGAGTTCTTGCTTGTATTCTATATTATTATAAAGGTAGTATTTAATGTGTATTGCTGCAGTAATTTTACCTTAAATGTACTGATGTAAGAAATTCTTTCAGTTTCTCAGATGACAGACTGTCTTCTTTCTCTTCGTTTGACAACTGTCTAGGAAAATACTGCGTGGATGCATTTTTTGGATAGGTCCTAACCAATTAGAATTAATTTGAATGTGAGTAAGTACAGAAACTATTTCAAAGACAGAGACCCATGTAATGTGTAAAATTAAAAGCTCAGTATATTCAGTTTTTATAGAAGCTCTTTGGAAAAGAGTGAAAGAAGAAAGATGCAAACAGAGCATCCAATTCTGTCATCTTAATCAGTTTGTAACTGGGTAACTCCAGAAGAGTTAATTTACATAACTTTAGCTGAGATCAGAAACAGTGCATGGCTTAATACATAAGCTGACAAGTATTCTCTCACTTACCATTTTGTCTGTGTACTAGCTTCTCTTACTTTTGGAACCATTTGTATGCCCACATCTTTTTCAAGCATTTTAATACTGAAAGTTTTGTCTTCATAGGATGTGCATTCAGTGTAACTGTCTTTTACATGTGAAGCATTCTTATCAGTAAATGTAATTGGTGCACCAAACTTCCTGCGTACTCGAGAAATCATATACTTAATCTGGAAAAGAGATATTTCTGTAGTTATCAGAGAAGAAAGGGTTTGTTTTTTTTTTTTATTCTGAAGTGCTTGTATAAATAAGCTACATATATAATAGACACGTTTGTATTTCTAAAACAAGAAGCTGCCTTTGGGTAATGTTTTGGATTACTGCTGGTAGGATAAGAGAGTTACATTTTCTAATTCATGCAATATCAAAACTGCACCTTTAATTAAAATATTGATTTTCAGGAGGTCTTATGTAATATTGCATTGGACTTCTAAGACCTAAGTATTCAGCCCTTCCCTCTTAGTGCAACTCTCAATTTTGGGTGAGGTTTTTCAGCTTCTCTTGCAGTTGACTAGGGAGAGAAAAGTAACCCGAAGAGGATCCACAAAAATCTGAGTGAGGAGTTTCCTTATAATAAGAACTAGGAAGGAAGAAGGAATGTGGCTTGACTTCTACCCACAAAGAGAGGTAGGCCCTTGATTTCAGGCAGTAGAGAGGTATTGTTTTGTTTTGGACTCATAGCCAGGTACTTTTTCCCAGCACCTCCCACAGAACTGGAAAGGAATATACTTCTGAGTGGACCTTGCCAGCAAGGTAGAATACAGAATATTTGGACTGTGAATGTGGATTAAATTTAGTGACTCTGAGTTAGCTTTAGAGCAACCAGACATCTTTCTAAGTATAAGCAAGATGTCCAGTTACTGAGAACTATCAAAACTTAGCCAGTCTTCCCTGAACATGGGTTTAGGTATTGAGTAAAAATCACTGATGGACAGTTAAATGCTTGGAGATGCCCCACACATCACTAGTTACGTGACAGCTGTGGGTCAATCTATTTTTTGGATGTATAATTTTCTCAGTGTAATCTGTAGGTGTAGTTAATCAAATATGTCCTCCTGTGGAGTCACCTTGTAATACCTTTAGTCGGTAACATTTATTCTGAGGTACAGAGCCCTTAAAAGTGTTTCACGCCATTTAAATGCCATCTACATAATGAAACAGAGTTCACTGGGCTCCATGGAAACAGAGCTAGGTCCTTAGAATATAATTACAGTGACTCAACGTGTAATCTGGCCAGATAGTAGATTGAGCAAAAAAGTGGCAGAGATGCTAATGACCAAAGATGATCAGGACTTTTGAACTTACAGCTTAAAAAGTAGGTATGTCCAATGCAGTCTCACATGCCTTATTTGCAGGATTTAAAGAGAAGAGAGTTGTAAAAAAAAAACAAAACCAAACCAAAACAAACAAACAAACAAAACTAGAAAAAAAAATTTCTGCAGCACTTTCAGTTTTTGTTAGAAGTTGAGCTATTTCTCTCTCTCTCTTTTTTTTTGTTTTCTTGAAAGACCCCAAGCAAAACTAGGATTGCAACTTTTGGTTTCCTGACTTTTTTTTTTTAAGGAACTTAAAATAAGTTTGTTTTTCCTGATATTTATTTGATTGACTAACATTTGTTGATTCTGACCTTTGTAACAGAGTCTTTAACAGATTCTTCTTCAACTTCTTTTTCGCTGCCAAGAGAAACCCAAGGTTTGTGGACAAGAGACTTATAAGGATGGACTTCCAGAGTTTCCTCTCCATTTTCTTTTTCTTCTTCTTTTTCTTCTTCTTTTTCTTTTTCTTCTTCTTTTTCTTCTGCAGTTTCTGGAGGCTGTGATATCAAACAGTGAGAAATGGTACTTCTTCAAAAATTTGTTACTGAAATGTAAGTATGAACTGGAAACCCAGTTTTCATTCTTTATTCACACATTATTTACTTTTGTCTCAGTGCAGTAAGTCTGGCTATTCTGTGCCCCTAGGTATGACTGGGTTAGGTCCCATTCGTTCCTGCATTAGAATTTTCCAATAAATGCTACGTATTTAATGTTTAACTACTGAAGAGAGACTGTTGTCTTGAAAGCAAATCACTGTTAATGAAAAGAATTTATAGCAATTTTCTACATTAGGCTCTCCTGCCTGGACTTGCAATTTGCTTTTCCATTGATTATTACTTTTCCTGACGCTGGATGACAAACTCATGTTAAAAAATTATATAATCTACCCATAAATCTTCTCCTACGATGCAATGCACAAGGGGAAATCTTGTATGTATCTAGAGTTATTTAGAACTCAAGAACATTTTTAAAGTATGTGAAGTAAAATACATCGATATTGTGAAAAATAGGTATAATATTTATTTGAAGATACCCAATATATGATAATCTTTTATTTTTATGCCTTACTTAGAAACCTGGGTCTTGGCAGAGGAAATTAATGGTTATGATAAAAATGCAGCAATGGGGGGGTTATACTGGCCCTCTGAAGTAAAATACAAAAATTTATTTCAGTCTTTCTAAGTATAAAAGATATTTTTACAGTGATACATGTATTTTTCCATTAGCAGATTAACCTTTAGAGAAACACTGTGGCATGCCAAGCACATCAGATGCTTACGAATACAATACCATTCCTGAAATAGATGTTTGAGACAAGATTCTGAAATATTTGTAGATAGAACAATGCTGTGGTATACTTCATTTTCTTACCTTCAGAAGGTTTTCCTTGGCTTCCTCAGAAGCAACAAGGTAAAAGTTCTGTCCGTACTGGAACTTTGCATCAAAAACTACCAAAAGTTCTTCCCCTGGATATTCCTATTTTAATTAAAACAATTAGTGGAAAACTGAAAGCAAATAACATACAAAATAGACATGAGCCTGTGACTGGCAAAGTTACCACTTGTATAAATTCAGTATCTTTGGTTAATCTTGTGGTCTTAACAGAGAATTTAATGTGCTAATTGAAAAGAACAGATGGATTGTATTTTATAATAATAAGTCTGGGACAAAACTAATCTTTTTATACAGACCCTTTTGGATATTACATCATTAGTGTATTTACACAGTCAAACAAGGCAGACCTTATCATTAAAAGAATATATATTCAGAGAGCATGAAGTCTTAAAGTGAGAACGAAGTAAGCTACATACTAGGACAACTTTTTTGATAGGGTGGAAGTCAGAAATTGCAGCTCTTGTTTTCAAGTCCTGAACGATGTCCTCTTTTTTAATAAGTTTGAAACAATTTTCTTCTGTGACATCTTCATCAACTCGGCAATTAAAAATTTCTTGCGTCTTTGTAGTGAAAACTAAAGGAAAGATTTCTGGGTGGCCTAGGAAAGAAAGCAAAATTGGTTGATAAATTCACAGTATTGTTTAAACATAAACATTTGCTTTAATAACTCTGGGTCTTTACTGTTTCCTAGCAGAACGCCTTTGAATCTCTCAGCTTAGTTTTTGGTATTTTGCAAGGCATGGCACACAAATTATGTTACATTTTGTTAATCTTGGAAAAGACTCTACCTAACATTTCCTACTTAATGAATATGATATTCCTAGTATGAGGGGAATATCAATCAAGTGTTTAAGAGCTTTAGTGAAGAGTCATTAATGGACTATTTTTAATACATTGAGGACACAACTGCATGGCTGTGATTTAAGAGAACTCTTGAATAAATATACTCTAGTCCTTCCGTGTAGATTGGTGTCATGTTAAGCTAATGTTTAATCTAGATGAGGCTTCAGTCCCCTCCCAAGTAAGGATGGTTTTCTGGCTTTGGACTTTCATCTTCCTCTCACTCAGTTTAGGGTGCAGTTGAGTCTATTTCTCACTAAGCAAGTGAGACTAAAGCAAGGTCACCAAGATTCAAGCCAGATGTTTATTTTCAGCTTTGCTGGAGAATATATAGCTGCTGTTTTCTATATATGACCTCTGTTAAATTCATTCATATTAGTTCAGAACAAGCTATTTCTTATCCAAGCTCCAGCACTGTTATTGACATTGGTTTTAGCGAGGCTGGGTGCAGTTAGGTAACCCATCAACTGCGCTTTGCAAACCTATCAACTGCACTTTGCAAACCCATCAACTGTGCTTTGCAAACACTCAATCTGAAGATAATATACAGTGCTGCTTGTTAAGTGTGTGTCAGCTGTATGCAGGTAACACTTGGTCCTTCCCATATTACATCTTCTGCCTTCCAGCTTACATAACAGCTATAAGTGATCATGATCACTATAGGCCCAGATAGTTGAACCCTGCTGCCTAAGAGACTCTTTTCTTCCTTTGCAACACTGCCATGTGAGCAGACTCATGCTGTATGTCTCAGCTGCCACAGTAAAGAGCATTCTTCATGAAGGCCACTATATTTCTGGCTGAGAAGGCTAGCAGATGTTCACTTGGAATGTTCATCTTTTTGATAAAGTGGAAAGTGTAAAAGATTTAGGGACATGTGTACATGGGATTTTTATGTACTGAAATGGGCTGGCTTTTGTGGTAATAGCTGATCCTTTCTATCATCTTTCTTTCATTCTTGTTTCTTAGTTTGAATTATTTAATATTTTATCTTGATTTCCAGCATCTATGGTAGTTTTCTCTTTGTGTATGCCTGAAATTGAAGTTGATATATCTAAAATGATAATATTGACCAGCTGGCTCAGCATGTTGTGAGAAGCCATCTCTAACCGAAGCCAAAAAGGACAGACAAAATGATAAATCCTCCTTAATCTCTATCATTTGGGAAGCTAAATCTCTGCATAAGCCTATCACATAATACAAAATGCTTGATAAATCTGACATTTATCCTTAAAATCTTTCAATGCTTCTCCTCCACTGCATCCAGTCTGCTATAGTCATCCACTAAAATTAATGACATGCATGATGCTTCAGGTACACCCTGCACTATGCCAAGTATGATTTAGTTAGCCTTCACTAGTCATTTTGTAGTATACGCAAGCCATTTGTAGCACACACAATCCATTAGTTCACTGTCTTCAGAAGTTGTAGTCAATATTGCATGACTTTCCTTTTTGATATCTCAGAGATTTCCAGGATTTCTGTGTGGATGCTTCCAATAAATACAGAATCATAGGGATGTTGATTGGGAAAGACCTCTGAGAGTCATCTGGTCCAAACTCACCGTTGGTAACACCAGACCACGTCAGTTCTCATTTATCTCCCAGAGTCCCTGTGCTTGCCTTTTTTGGCATCTACACTCTGTAGATAATGAGGCCAAGACCTAGATTCTTCTTTTGTTTGTCAATTTGGCTATGAGACCAGGCTCAGAAAAAGTGTTTATTCCAGGGTGATTTGTAACATTTAATCCTTTTAAAGAATTGCAGAAGTTGATGTGCAGGACTCCCAGGTCACCCTAGACAAGGGCATGAGGCCTCATTAGGATGTCATTAGGAAGCAGACTCCAACCCTAGTACAAACTGCAACACTACAGATATACTTTACATTTTGATATATTAGAGCAAAAAAATTAGACCTCCTTTTGCAAATTAAATTTCATAGGCTAGAAAGAGGATAGAAACCTAGAACTGTGCACCAAAAAATGCAATTTCCATCCTCTGCCATATACAGCTGGCTCACAGGACAGAATGGACAGGAGAGCAAAGGAACAAAACATTTGTACATATCACAGTCCTCAGGGTTATGTGGCTAGTGCAATTAGGAGGGCTAGAGCCTACAGAAAATTAATAAACATAATTTGCTGATTCTTATGTGAAATTCTATCAGAAGATTATTCTCATAGCTCAAATAAATTAAAGTAAACCTGAACAATTAGCTTTTTTTTGGATGCATCGAAAATCCTAACCAGGAATAACTGTTGTTTATTCAAGAAGCTTGTATAATGTTATTTTTTAAAAAGCTGAATCATGCATACAGCCTTGTCCACAAGTGCTAATGCTAAAAAAATTCTTTCAAAGAGATGTAGGTTTCAATGTCAAATGAAACAAGACAAGCATGTACTAAAGCTAAGCAAAAATGTAACAGACATCACTACAAGAGGGAACAGAGTAGAACAGATAGTCTAAGTGTATTTTCTTCAGTGCTCTATTGCTACAAGTCCAAGTTAAAACCAAAGTAATGATCAGAATTAAAATACGTACATCTTTTAGTCTAAAGGACTAAATTATCGTAGAATACTGTATTATAACAGATTCTATACTATAGAATCTGTATTAGATGTAGTATAACATAAGGAGCTGATACTGCAGTTCTTACTATTATGAACATTTTTATTGAATGCTCTTTTCCAGCAAAAAGTATGAGAGGCTTCACATTGTTCTTCTAATAGTAAATTGTACACATATCATTTGTAACAGTTGACAGCTCTTAGTGCTATGAAAACTTCACAAAGGACCAAGAAGTTCCAAGAGAAGTAAAGAACACTTGCAAGTCTTACACTAAGGAGATACCATGCATACAGTTTAAATCCTGCACAGACAGTCTCTGTATATCATTTACTGCATTTAGCAACAAGTTTCTAGCAAGTTTAGATATTACGGCTCTAACGTTATTTGCCACTAGGTGGAGGTAAAATTCTCTCTTACTGACAAAACTAAGGATCTCCAGGAACACCAAAAATATATTTTTTTAATGTAACACTCCCATCTTCTGAGGAATCACTTACTGTCCATTAATTGCAGCTTAGCCATTTTGTAGCCATTACCTAGCTTGTATATTCCTAGTCTTCCACATTGTTTTAGGTTTTAGCAATAAAATCTCTACTGCTAAAAGCCAATTAAGAAGATAACCCTTTGGCCCGTTCCTGTCAACCGTAGATAAATCTTACATTTACACCAGTTTAAGTTTTATCAGAGGAAGAATTGCACAAATCAGGTCAGAAGAAAAATCCAACCAGAAATGTGAAAAAAAATTACTAATTTATTTGGTGTTTAAGAAAAAAAAATATTTAAATTCAAATAATTCCATATTTTAGCTCTTAACTATGGCCACACTTAAAACTGCACTTTTCTTGAACATAAGCCAAAATAAATGCTTGATATCTTGTGACTTTTAAATGGCAGATTTTTCCCCTACAAAGCAAAATATGTTAACATCTATTGATATCTATGATTAAAAAACCACAAGTGATATGCTAAAATAATCTTCTCTTCAGATTTAATAATGATTTGACAAAGATCAAAGATTAAAAACTGATAAAAATATTTCAAGTTTTTCTTAACTATTACTGAATGCAAACGTTTATGCACCCTCTAATTCTGCTGTGATGCTTTTTATTTTCCCTGATCCCAGCTCCTCTCAACCCAACATAAAAACATCTAAAAACCCGTACCTGTTTCATTATTCCTTGCTTTCCTTTTAATTCCCTGGCATTAGTAACATTGAAGCTTCAAAATGCTTAAAGTATTCTAAAACTATTACTTTAAAGCCTAGTCCTCATAGCACTTACCTATACTAGCCATAGAAAGATCAACTTCATAATTTTTACCTGAAATATAACAACATGATGTTATCAGTAATTTTTCTTCCTAACAAGGTAACTATAAATATATAGTCCTTTCTTCTTAGGGCAATATTTAAAATCTCTCTATATATTTAATACTAAACTGTGAAGAGGAGACAAAAAAAATTCTATTCAGTTCAAATTTAACATAAGAAATGAGTGAAGCCCTTTAAAACAGGTCTGTGTCTGAAGGAGATGTTAGCATATTTTGAAACTATGAAGATTTAAAACTCATATATATTTTGAGCAGATGGTCTGCGTAAGAGAGAAGCCATAAGAAATCTGTCATCTTGTGGAGCACACTGCAGTTTCCACTGTTGAAAGCTGCACAGAGGCAGTTACTTGGGGCAGTTCCCCTGCAAATGGTGTCATGTGAGGAGCAGATAAACGGGCACAGCTCGGTAGCATCAGACAGCAGCAGAACTGCAGGTGTGTCCCTAGGAGCAGAGGTTGGTCCCCTCTGACAGCGGTGAGGTGGACAGTCTTGCTCTGGGTGGCAGGGTGCCGCAGAAGCCAGGCTTTCTTCAGCCCCTGAGAGAGGAACTGCAAACCTCACAGCGAAGCAGGACAGGGAGAGATTAGCGCTGATGTGCAGAATATTCTCTGCAGCACAACAGCTATTAATCATCTGGGAGGGAAAAGGTGTTCAAAAGGCGAAAGTAACTTCAGGAAGGTGGCTGTCATGGTGGAAAAAAAAAGCCATGAAACAAAACAAATAAAACGCAAGCATTCCCATGTTTTCTGAGCATGTGCATGAATCACTGGAAAAAAATGGTTGTATATAGCTAAGGCTCATTTGCCTTATACTTCGTTAACTATACACCTTATAAATGACACAAATGAGATAGTATCTCAGCACATCTCAGAAAAAAATAAAATAAAATGCACTGCAAAATTAAATTATTAGACTTTGGTATATTTTCAAGCTCTATTATTGTACCTTTACAGAGCGATCCTGAGCACCTGAACTCCTGCTTCTGAGGGCACTTCTGTCTGCCTGATGCTCTCTCCCTGGGCTGTTAGCTTTTGTGAATCTCCCCACTTAATATATGTAAAGCCTCACAATTTCCCATTCAATACTGTTACTGTAACACCCCAAACTATTAAATCTAAACTACCAAGACAAACCATAAATATTGCAATGTAGCTTTGTTATGTTGCATATATTGGTTACAAAATCATAATCAGTGATTGTAGATCTCAGTTATTTACATAAAATAGCATATTCTCATTTAGCTCATGTTTACTTAAATGCATGGGCCCAAAATAATTAAGGTAGCTGCCATGTGAAACCAGATTACTGCTTGTTTCATTGCTTCTGTACCTTACATACCCAAAGGTGTTTGTTTTCCTTTTGGGGATTCCTTGGCTTTTTTTCCACCTTTCTTTGCTGAGGTTTTTGGACCTTTCAAAGAGGTCTTTTGTGACATTTTTTTTCAGATTTCTGTAGAGAAAGAGACACATCATCAATAAACTTGAAACAGGCAACCAAATGCACCATGTATGAGTGAAAATTTGGTCCATAGCTTTAGGTAGTTCATCATTATAGTAATATTTTCATATGCAGCCAAAGGTATGTTCTATAATTTTAAATCATAAACTGTATTTTGAAATGATGTGTAATGATGGAAATACATCTTCTGTCCTGGGTGATTAAGTATGGAAAATGATTATCCAAAACTGTGAAAAGTTATATTAGGGTAGGGGTTTCCCTTACAGGAAGCTAAGGACCTGAGCTACAGTGGGAAGAGTGCAGGTGAAAATTCTCCAGTTACAAATGTTTGTCCCAGTGTCCTTAAGTGTAAATCATTCTCAGCTGCATAAAGCATTTCTGTGCTTATCTATTTCCAGTTCATTTTTGAGTGTAGCTGTGGAAGACAAATTTGGAAAGAAGTTGTATGCATGTAGCAACCACACAGTGTATGGAAGGCGACTCTTGTTTCATTTACTATCCTTCTTCACAATATCTAGAATAAGGATGAGACCAGCAGTGTAGAAAAGGCTCAGTTCCATTGCAGAGAAGGAAAGGCAATGCAGCCTGCCTGCTGGACAGACGGGACAGCACACCGCCACAGCCTACACTGCCATCATGTGGAAGGTAGACGCGTGGCAGCCGGTAGAGCAGCTACATTGGGATGGTCCAAGTTCTGTTAGGAGAAGTACTGAAAATTTTTTGATATTATTATTGAACAGCTAGACGTGTTCAACTGGGGTAAGGACAATGGTACTCTGTTTGTTTGTGTCCTCCCTCTTCCATGTCCCCACTATTTTTTTTAAAGGCTGTAAACTGCCTGTGAGAGGAACAATTTTTTTTTTTTAAGTCTACAAAGCACCTACGGTATTTGGGTGCTACTATAATTCTAACTGTAATAAGAGGAAAACAGATGTACTTATAGGACAGAGTGCATGTCAATTAAGATGGCTAGAAGAGATTAATTTTCCCTTATTAAAAAAAAGGGGGGGGGGGGACGACCTGCAAAGCTATTTCCTACCCATCTCCTTGTATATTTTACATAAAAAAAAATTGTGACCCATTTTATAAATCGACTCTATGGCTACTCTAATTTGAAACCAGCCTTGATGTGTCCAAATAAGACAGCCCTCCAGGACAGGAGGAGAGGCTAGCTGTTTTAGAAATCAGTTGAAGGACAATATGGACCATCTCATATGTATTACAGTCACATTGTCTTACTTCACCATTTCCTAATTATTCACAAAGCCAATTTGGAAATTTTGAGTTCTTTCTTCTTCGTAACCTAAACCCTAAGTCATGTGAATAGAGGAAACACTGAGAGGGCTGAGATAAGTCACATGCCTATGTTTAGTACAGTAACTTGCAAGTAAAAACATGCCTTTTCCTTCGTCTGACTTCAAGTATATTAAATTAGAGCTTTGAAAATTGTCTCCCAGTAATGCAATTCCTCCTCCTTTACCAAAAGAATCAGGTGCAGAGGCACACACAGCACTATACAGGTAAGGACAGTGCTGGTGAAGGCAGAGTTGGTGACTGAGTGTGTGTATGTTAATACAAAAAAGTATCCCTGTTTAAGGGCTGCAAATGAATACAGCCATCAGTAGAACTGCTCGTGGTTCCATCTGTGATGCAGAGAACCTCACCAACTGGAAAGCAGATAGAAAAGTACGAAGTAGTTATCTCCTTTTACAATATGCCTGCTACCATATCACATCTGCCCATTTGTCATCCTGTGGGCATATGATTGTCAGTGGTTAGGAAACACTTAAGGCCTCCAAAGAAAGCAAAGGCAGAACTTCTAAAACTTCTCTGGAAGCATAATCAAGCCGATAGCCATTTACAAAGTATGTATGGAAAGTTGTTTTTTTACACAGGATTACGCTACTAACCCCCAAGTGCTCCCTGCAGGAAGTGAACATGCTCTGAGAACTTCAAAATAGGTACTGAAGAGCCATCTTTGGCACCTCACCTCCTAAAAAAGAAATAAAGGAACAAAAATCCTAATGTTTCTTAATGTGTAAGATAAAACCTAGTAATTTCAGAAGTTACCTCTTCTTTCAGGGGTTTGGGTTTTTTTTCATTCCCTAAATTTTTATGCAAAGTACCAAATCCTATCAAGAAAACATGAATAAACTGGTGTCTGTACTAGAGGACTGTCTGAAAATATGACGGAAAAGATAATTTATTTAATCTGTGGTTAGTTCCTGTCCTTATAGGGATATTTCTATATTGCTTATTTAGAAAGGACTCTAATATGTGTATTTATCCGGAAACATGCAAATGTATTATGCCTTTCCATTAATGTTTATATAAATTCATGATTCTGTGATTGAGAGGTCAGAAACAAAATTTAAATTAACATAATTTAAAAATGTTAAGAGCGCAAAACCTACAAAAAAGAATAGCTCTTGAAAATAAATTGTCATAAACATTGCCATATATTCCATTTTTTAAAAGTAGGTAATTTATTATATTAAAATTTAATTAAATATGTTCAGTCTATTTTTTGGTGATTTTTCAGTGGAACACAGTGTTACATTATTTAGTTGGTAAAGCCCAGGTAAATATTTGCCAACACTGTTTGACGTTTTGTAGCCTCATTTCTTTATAGATGGCTGTAATATTTTAAATGTTACGCTTAAGAGAAAAAGTAAGATCAGAGTGTTCTCCTAATCACTTAATGGACTGAAACATTTACAATTATAAAACAAATCCATGAAGTTGCTAGGTACTGCAACAGGGGAAGGTTAATTAGCTGTCAGCACTGGAAAAGATGCTGTCTGAACTGAAGACACAGAATGATTCATTTGCTGCCTAATTGAATGACACAAGGTCAAGCCTGTGTGCATTACTACTTTAGGACTATAATTTACTAAAATTTGGAATGACAGAAGAATTGAGTGCATTTCCATTTAACAAAAGCACCACAAGAAAATTATCAAAAAAACATGCTACTTGCTTTTTTGTTATTGTGATACTATCAAGCTAAAAATCACATTTTTGTCTGTAAACATTTAGGAACTTGTTGAAAATACCATCTCAAGAATGACCTAATCTCTCCAGAAATTCATGTGCAATGTTCACTTTAATTATATTTATTCTATTTTGCTCTACACAAAGAGCAAATAATACAAACACCTGAAGTTTGTGTTACTAATAATGCTTGTGCATATTTGGACACAACTTCATTGTATAAGTTGTAGGGAGTAAAGCTGAAGTTTTGGCAACTGCCAAATCATTTCAGCATATGAATAGTTCTATTAGAGCGTACCTGATGTCACACATACAACTTCTTGTGAAACCAGGCCTAATGATAAAAACCAATAGAGAGGTGGTTACAGGCTCTGGGAGAGTCAGTACAATACACGTAAAATTAGGTTAAGAATTATAAGGTATGGAGGGCAAAATGCAGAACTTCATCAAACATTGGATAATACTGTGTTCTGTTTCTCTGCTTTCTTCTGTTCAAAGAGGAATAGAATAGACTTGGAAAAGGTACAAAAGGAGGATAACATGGATGATTGAAGATATGGAACGTGCTTTGTACTAGGAATAAACAAGGATTCCTTTCAGTCTGGAAAAGACAGGACTGAAGAGGGTATGATAGAAGTAAATAAAATCATGAGAGGCATGGAGAAAAGTGACCAGGGAATGATTATTCATGGTCTTCCATAATACAAGATCTCACTGGCATCACATGAGCTTACCAAGGGACAGACTGAAAACAAAAAAAGGAGTACAGAATTATTTCATTGCACAATAGGTAGCTGAACTATGGAACATGCTGCCTGCGGACAGGACAGCTGCCAAAAGCACACAATTTCAAAAAGTAACAGGGCAAATTGACAGACAAAAAATTGAAGGCTACTAAAAATACTGATAATACCTCTGTCTGTAGAAATGAAGCCATAAATCCAAGAAAAAAGGGTGCGAAGAGTGTAAGTATGGCTTTATTATAGTCTTGCCCAGGCCTCTTACTGGCCCAGACAGAACTTCTGGTGTGAGCCAGTACAGCTGCTCTACAGTATTAGAATTTATTAACAATTTGGTCGGTACTTCAATAGTTAGTAAGTATGATATTTGTCATAACATGAACCTGCCAGGAAGCGAACAGCAGCATATGTTGCCTTGTTATGACTTTTGAAGAAGAAATGTTATATTGTAAAGTTTTTCACTAGATAAGACATTATCTCTTTTCTTTAAGCAAAGGTAAGGAAAATAATCATCTCATCTTTTAACTGTGAAAGCTAGGCTGCGGGAACAGAACCATGCACGGAGCG